CTTAATGTCATTGAGCATTGACCATATATACCTTTTAAAAAATTTGACAAAAACTCATTAATTAAACATGATTTTTCTAATTTGTGTGATTTTAGAATATAAGTTAAAAGTGTAATTAATATATTTTTTATTATTAATTAATATTAAAAATAAAAAAATTAACATTGATTTCATCACTAATGTTAATATATTATTTTAATTAAATAATTAATTAAATAAAAATTAATTTTTACATTTTTAATAATAATTAATATAAATAGTAGTCTTAACTTATGCAATAACGGCGCAATTTTAAAACATTCAATAAAAACTAACCATGCTTCTTCTTAAAAAGTCAGCTCAAATGAAAGGGTAGGTTAGTTACAATAGGTGGAGCCAGGGATGGAGGAAAATTCGATTGGGGGGCAAGAATTATCATTGAAAATTTGAGCTTTCAGGTATTTTTTAAGATATTAATTCATTTTCTTCTTTTTTTTTATATATAAAAAGGATTCACTTATAATTTTTTTATTGATATATTCTTTTTAAAAAATTAGATATAAATATATTTATTAAAATAAAAAATAAAATATCACAATGATAAATCATGTAATAATCAATTGAAAAATGAATAGAAGAAAAAGAAATGTGTTTGTTAATAAAATCTCTAATAAATTATGAGGAAAAATAATAAAAAGTTATATTATTTTAATAAATTCACATTAAAAAATAAAAAAATAACATATTCTTATATAAAAATGAAAGTATTTTAGTTTTGTTAAAATAACATAGTTTTAGAATTTTTTTTTTAATTTTTTGGAGTTTATGTCAATAAACATTAATATTATAAAAAATGCTTGAATATTTTTTTTAGAAAATGAAATTTAACTTAATTAATTTAACACAAAAAGATACTATAAAAAAAACTATAAATTTTAAAGTTGTTTAAATGAAGAATCAAAAAAATTTTTAGGCTTAATATGTGGAAAAATTTTTAAAAATCATCATTCTTAATTAATAAATTAACATAAAATTCATTTTATTTTGAATTATATATTTATTTTTTGAAAAT